AACATAAATAGAACTCAGTACACTATTTAATAGTCCAAGCTATTGCCTCATTACTATTAATAAACCTTAAGTCGTAACAACGGGCTCCACATGTGGTCTCGACAATACACCAAAAGTAAAAACAAGAACACCACCCATGCGCAACATGGCACTGTTCGTACTCTGATATTTTACTGCTGTTGATGGAATCAGCCTCTCTGAGAGCTATCACACTGTATGAGAAAACCTGACTACCAGCCAGCCTCAGAACCATAAAACTGAGTTTTAGAGCTGTACTCTTATTAGGAGTTAATAGAATGAGTTATAGTCATAAAAATGGAGACACAAGCGAAACCCATGCATTAAGTCAAGAAGATCCAGCATTCAACATCCTAAACTAGAAAAAATATATTATAAATACATCTGCGCCAGCGTAATAGATGAAGTAGGGGTGCAAGGCTGGTCAACAGATAGAATCTGTTTACCCCTTAAGTCTTTGTCTAGGAGGCTTTCTACAAGACAGTAATCTTCTACAGGACAGTAGTCAGTTAAATAAACTAACTATGAAAGTATAAACAAATACTAAAATGAAGAAATGCTTTTCTTTTTGCTTGTTTCAAGCATTTATCTTTTTTTCTATGTGAAATAGGAGGTTAAATAACGCATTAACAAGGTTTGCACTTACACAGAAGTAATATACATTTGCCACGGATTGGTCACAAATAAATACCGGACTTTAAAAATGAATTAAAAATTCAAAAAATAAACGTTTTTTAGAAGTTGATTTTTTTTATTAAAATGTATACTTTGCTTAGCATATAATCAGACACAATGTTTATACTATATGAGTAAACTATGTATATTTTCAATTTTGTTTTTTTAAATATATTTAATTAAATATAAAAAACATAGGTTGGTATTCTGCAATGCTGGCTTATTAAGTAACCTCTTTAATTATTATATAATTTTTGCTTACTGCGTTTTTTTTTCTGCGTTTGAATTTGAATTTTATTCTCCAATAGTCACATGCTTGGCCTTGGCATATGCTTTTAATTCACCTATTTACTGTGAAATTGGATTTGAATTCTCTGACTAATTTTTTGTGTGCTTTTTTAGTACCTCTTTATTCAAGCACCTTTTTTTTGTTCTTAATTGTTCTCCTTTTTTTCAATGTTAGTTCTGATCAATTTTTCTTTTCTTTTTAACCTTCAATCAATATTGTTATTATTGGTGACCTTAACGTTGATCACTCAGTGGCTTTGCTTTATCCCCTTTAACTCTGCTGGCACGGAAGCTGCTGCTGGCATTTAACTTATTTAACTCTGCTGGCACGGAAGCTGCTGCTGGCATTTAACTTATTTAACTCTGCTGGCACGGAAGCTGCTGCTGGCATTTAACTTATTTAACTCTGCTGGCACGGAAGCTGCTGCTGGCATTTAACTTATTTAACTCTGCTGGCACGGAAGCTGCTGCTGGCATTTAACTTATTTAACTCTGCTGGCACGGAAGCTGCTGCTGGCATTTAACTTATTTAACTCTGCACGGAAGCTGCTGCTGGCATTTAACTTATTTAACTCTGCTGGCACGGAAGCTGCTGCTGGCATTTAACTTATTTAACTCTGCACGGAAGCTGCTGCTGGCATTTAACTTATTTAACTCTGCTGGCACGGAAGCTGCTGCTGGTATTTAACTTATTTAACTCTGCACGGAAGCTGCTGCTGGCATTTAACTTATTTGACTCTGCTGGCACGGAAGCTGCTGCTGGCATTTAACTTATTTAACTCTGCTGGAAGCTTTAAATTTTGTTGTCTGAATCTCTTACTCAAATTTACTCAGTTTACTTTCTGGCTTGTTCAATTTCTGACTTGTTTTCCACACAATTCTAATCACTTACCTTCACTCCTTGATTTGCATCTTGTCTCTGACCTTAGCATATGCTCAAGTCCTCCTTGTTCACCTTTAGGTGGTTCAAGCCATGCTCTCTAAACCTTTTATCTCCTACTTTACTTCAGTCTTATCTCTTCAGTCTTACCTACTCCAGTCTTACCTACTCCAGTTTTACTACTTCAGTCTTACTTCAGTCTTACTTACTTCAGTCTTACTTACTTCAGTCTTACATCATAATAATTACTACTAGCATAAAACTGACTGGTGTTTTCATGATTTTTTTTTTGATGATGTCTTCAAGTTAATGTTATTTGTCCATGTGCTGATAGTTGCGCCTCCTACATAATCTCCTGGATCCAGGCAGGTATGGAAGCTTTTATTCCTTCTTTTTGGTTTTATGTCAAGCCTTATTCTACCCCATAGTTTTCCATTTTGTGTGCAGATGCTATTTTACAAGAACAACTTTATTGAGAATAAACAGTGTAAAATAGTGCTGTGTGACACTAAGTTCCAATATTCTCAGTTTACCAAATCTTGTGTCTTATCTCAAAAGTTAAGTTTCAAAGACTTTTAGAAAATTTTCAACAGTGTCATTTGCTTAGGTGAAACTGATCTCAAATTCATCAATCTGAGTTTATTACATCTCCCCAAAATAAGTCAGAACTATTTGCAAAGAACTTTTCTTCTACGTGACTCTTGAATCTAATTGTCTCATTCTTCCTGGCATTCCAGAGAAATGGGTTTATTATAAATAATAGTCTTAATTAGACCTCCAAAATCATTCTGACTTTCATTGCTTAAGTTATTTTTCTCTTTAACTCATCTACTGCCTGTGGTCTTGACAACTGTCATATTCGTTACAAAAGTGTTCTCTAAAACCCTCTAATACTCTCTAAACTATTTGATAAGTGTTTAACTAAATTTTATTTTCTTACTTGCTGAAGAACAACATTTGTAGTTCTAATTTTTAAAAGCTCTCTTGAACACTCTGCCTGCTGAAGAATAACATTTGTGGCTCTAATTTTTAAAAGCTCTTGTGAACACTCTAACCCCTCTAGCCGATCAGAATTCTCTTTATTATTAGTTAGGTCTTTAAGCTTTTAATTAACAAATTTCTAATATCTTATTCTGAAGCTAATAATTTTTTTTTGTTTAATTTTTTCTCATTACCTTAAAACCCTAAAACTGAATATTGATATTGTCTCAAGTTATCAATCAATCAAGAAAAACACAAATAATGCAATGTTTTTTTGTAACAGAAACTTCTCTTTTTTGCATTTATATTACTTAGACATTTAGGTTTATGGTTAATACATTCATATTACCAAGGCGTCTATAAATCTAATTGAATTGGATTACCAATTTATTTACTAGTTAATTGAAGCTATAATTATTATTTTTTTTTTTTGCAAATTAGTTATAATTTATACTGGTATTTGCATAATGATAAAATGATATAATAATCAAAATATCAACAAAAGCCTTGTTGCAGAAAATTTTTTTTTTTTTTTTGCATCTTAATTAATGACACTTCATTTTTAATTTAACAGTTCACTTGAATTAAGTTCTCTGGATAACTACATTTTGTTTGCACAGCTAATAAAATTTGAGCTGACCACCTTACTATTAAAACAACAAAACAAATTACTAAGTTTTATATATGATATATGGTAATTTACTATATATCATATATGGTAATTTACTAAATACAATAGCTGCCCACATCAATTCTGGAAAAAAAAGCAATTTTTTAATACTGGTGCATTTAGCTCAAATTATGTAAAGGTAAACTTTTTACAAAAAAGTCAAACAAAATAGACAATTGGTTTGACCATTGTATTTGGTTTTCATTCAAGTATTTGCTGCTCTTTCTCCACAACCACTTGATGGTTGTGGATGAAGGAAAAAATAAAATTTTGATAAATATTATTTAAGAAAAAAAGTTTGAAATAAATCATTTTTCATATGCTTCTTATTTTTATGGGCCTAATATTTTAAATTTTATTGCATAACAAATTTTTTAAACAAAGATTAAAAAATTATTTCTAAGTTAAAACTTTATTAAAAATTGTAAAAATTATAATTTATAACAATTTTTTTTTTTAATTTTAATAATACTAGATCTTAAATACCTTTAATATTAAAATATTAGGTCCTCAGCCTGGATCTTAAAATTCTTGTTTTTTTTTATTGAATTCTGAACTTGTATGTTTTATAAATAATCTTACTCAATAATTTCATTTGCTTTGTTTTGCATGTAGAAAATATTCTCAAAATTGTTACTCTCTAAATAAGTTTTTATATTTGTAAGTTTTAATAATGAAAGTTTATTTTTTTGTTTATTTCTAATTATATTTTACTTTTGTCTTCATTAAGGTCTGATGTGATTAAGGTCTGATGTGATTAAGGTCTGATGTGACTAAGGTCTGATGTGATTAAGGTCTGATGTGATTAAGGTCTGATGTGACTAAGGTCTGATGTGATTAAGGTCTGATGTGATTAAGATCTGATGTGATTAAGGTCTGATGTGATTAAGGTCTGATGTGATTAAGGTCTGATGATGAGGCATTATAGTCTGGATCTTATTTTGCAACATGTAATCTGTAATTTTTGTGTTTTAGCATATGATATTGGCCTGGTAACACTTGGTCATTACCTAGTAAGGCCTTTTGTGGCCTAGACGTGGTTTTTAGTCACTACATTTTTGAAAAATAAAAAATCAATTTTTAAGTTTTTTTTTTTTTTCAATATTATTTATTTAATAATTTCTACTATATTTATATATTATATATATGCTTTGTAATCTTTTTTTAATTTACTTTTAATAAAAGCTCCATAAAAGCTGTTAAGTTAAAATCAAAATATATAAGTTGGTAAGTTATTCAAGTTAAAAAAAAAAAAAATAAAGTATATTTAAATATAAGAGTATTAATTATAAGTATATTTATTTACAAGGGTATTATATTATAAGTATACTTATTTATAAGGGCTAAAAAAAAAAGATACTTAAAGTATATTTATTTATAAAAGTGAAATATTAAAAATTAAATTCAAATGTTTGGTGTAACTTATTAGGTGTAAACACTTTTTTTTTTAATTCATCACAACATGTAAACACTTCTAATTGTATATAGATCATGAGTATATTCATGAACAATCTGATGGCATCAGTTTATATGACATGGATGGCCCCAGTTTACATCCCATTATTAATGGAAAAGAAGCGGTAAGTAAATTTTTTAGTTTTTTTTTTCAATACTTTGTATGAAAAGAAAAAAAATACATGTTGTTTTAAAAAAATTTTAATGAAATAAAGTCAAAAATCATAGATCCTTTACACTTTTTTGATTTTTCATTTATTTCATAAATGAACATTCGAAAAAAGAGTTCGAGTTAATTAAACTTTTAAAATTGTTTATTTGCTATCTTGTTTTTGTTTAAAAAAGTCTAATATTAAGTTACGAATATTTGGTTGATTACTGAATGTTTGTGTGATTTTTTGTAATGATTTTGTAACTGATTTTTTTAAACAATTTTATTTACAAGTTTGAGTATTCCTTTTTTAATTTGACTTCGGTGGTAATATGAAAATTGCAATGCAAATTTTTATTCTATTGAACACTTAAAAAGTTTATTGATGATAATCTTTGAATAATAGTGTTTATGATATTATATCATAAAAATTGTACTGTTTCTAAATCATAAATATATACTTTACAAAACATGTTTCTATTTAGCAAGAGAGTTTAATTGATAAAGTGAAGAAGTTTTCAGCGGATAGGAATTACTTTTTATTTTCAAATAAATCTGCTCATGTAAGTTTTGTACAATTTTATTATTTAATATTCTTTGAGAATATATTATTAGGATTCACTAGGCATGTGTAAATGTAACAAGTATCAGACTCAAGTAAATGTTGTGTAAAATAACAATTGCACGATTTTAAAACCTTACCAATACTTATTTATTTATATAATTTAAGTAATGTTCGAAGTTTATTTTCTATTTAAAAATTTTTAAATCCAAATTTTTAAACACATCAAGGGTGTACTTTTTTTTTTTTTTTAATGTTGTTTTAAGAACTAGATGAATATGTATGTTGAATGATATAATATACATTTAAAATTTTCAAAGTATATTTAGGGTTGTTTTTAAGTTTTTTTTTTTCTTTAGAGATTTTTTTTTGTTATAATACTTAAATTTTTTTGCTTAAAATAAAATAATTTGCTTGAAAAGTAATGGTAAAAATATTTTTTGTAGATTAGTAATATTCAGTCATTTTTCCATCATTAAATATAAAAAACAACTGATTATTGCAACAACAAAAACATTATTTGTAGATAAGTTTTACAGTAAAAAAAAATCAGCAAAAAATTTAATATAAAATTTGTTACCTGTTACAAAAAAAGTTTCCATTATTAAACAAACTGTTACTGCAAAAAATGTCTCAAAATTATTTTTCAGTATAATCAAGTTGTTTGCTGGTCAACACCAATATTAGGATATAGGCGATGTAAACGTGCATATCCTCAAATCAATAATTCACATGGTTCACTTTAATATCACATTTTTGTGAATGTTTTTTGTTTGCTGTGCTGAAATTATATATTATAATATCAAATTAAAAATTATATATTAACATATCAAAAAATTATATATTAACAAATCAAAATTTAATTTTTTTTAGCTTTACAGGCATTCTTTCTATGCTGATTATTATGTTAAAGATATGAAATCAGGGTAAGATTTGAACATAGCAAAAAAATCTGTAGTTGTTGTATTATTTTTGCAGAGTATTTTGTTTATATTGGTTTACAGAGTTTAAATATATATGTGTATATATATATATATATATATATATATATATATATTATATATATATATGTATATATATTTATATATATATATATATATATATATATATATATATATATATATATGTATATATATATATATATATATGTATATATATATATATATATATATATGTATATATATATATATATGTGTATATATATATATACATATATATATATATATATATATATATATATATATATATATATATATATATATATATATATATATTATATATATATATATATATGTATATATATATATATGTGTATATATATATATACATATATATATATATATATATATATATATATATATATATATATATATATATATATATATTATATATATATATGTGTGTGTGTGTTTCAAGTGTATTTTTGTAGGTATATTGGTTGATACGGCCATTATATAGCTCACAAAAACCAACTGTTTGTGGGAATAATTTCCCTATATGCCTATTGATTCTCTACCACTTTGTTGTCTTGCTTGTAAATAGCGTTTGCAATATTTCTCAATTTCAAATCTATCAAACGTATATTCTTCTTTTGCAGTTCACAACCTGAAAATTTGACTCATCTCTCCAAATCACTTTTGTCCAACCTTCAACTGACCAATGCGAATGTTATTTGCACCATTTTCGTCTTCTGCATTGGTCTTTGATTGACAAGATAGGCTTTCTTATTGCAATGTAAGACCCAATACCTTTTTTTTGCTATGTTCTTCTAACAAGTTCTTTGCTTACATTTCGGTTAGAAAAGGATCGGTTGAATATTCAAGCTAGCTTTTTATTGCTGAGCCTAGGATTTTTTCTGCTGATTCTAAATATGCTACTCTTGTCACGGTCACTAAGCTTCAGTGGTCTTCCAGAACGAGGGATGTCAGTGACACTACCTGTTAGCTCCCAAGTTTTCACAGTTTTTTGCTTGTATAATTCTGAAACACCCAAAAGTTTACTAATTTCAATGTTGTTATGATTCTTTAATTTGACCAGTCCAATAATTTGCCATTTGATGTTCTCTAACACTGCTTTTCTACCCATTTGCAAGCAAATTGAAATTTAAAATATTGCAGTTAATCTTTAGATAATTTTTTGCAATTAAAATATTTTTTTAATTTTTAAAATCATTTTTTCATTTAAGAATTATGAGTACCCTTTATATTTATATTTTATAGCGGTAATTGAGTATATTAATTAGTTATCAAATGTGAAAAATATATACTTAACTCAATTAAATTTTTATTTCATCAGTAAGTTACATTGCATAATGTTTAGTTTTATGTAAGTAGTGCAATGTGTGTGAATATTTTTTTTTGTCTATTTTATCGATAAAGACATAAATAACGAAACACAAAAAAAATAAACTTAAAATCTATATCTGTTAAATTTTAATGTTAGTAAAACTGGTACATAGTTATGAAAAACTCTGTCTTGATTAAACTTTTGTGCATAACTGTATGTATATTTGCCTATGTGTATGTATAAATATACAGGCCTTGGCGGGAGTAAATAAGTGCAAGAGCAGAGAAAAGCTCTTTTAAAACAAACATAACAAGCCATGCGAGCTGCCTCTATACAGCATCTTACTAGAGCTTTTAGTTTTTGCATGAGCTATCTGTTCATTCATTAAAAAAAATGTGTATCTAATACAATATTTTGTTTTATACTTGTTACAAGCATATGTTTGTAACGTTAATGTTACAGGAATATATACATAACAAGCGTTTTTTTGTGCAGTGAAATATTTCTTTAGGTGAGCTTTGTCTTTGGGTTTTTACACTACCTATCCATTTATTTATTAACAACAAAACTTATTTGATAAAAAATTTGACAAGAAGCTATTAATGTTTATACTGCTTATAAATGTTATGAAAAATGATTAAAAAAAATATTTTGAGCACTAGAAATAGCCACAGAAAAAGGATGAGAATGACAAGTTACACAAGAGTGAATTTTTGACGGCACAAGAGACAGTAGCCCTAAAGCAGTGCCCATTATAATGTTTATAGAAAAGAGAAAGAGAAGCAACATTATGATGATGCAACAATGGTTGGAGGTTGGTTGCAAGAGCAGGTCCAACTATATTTACAATACCTTTTTGCACCTTGTTTAAAAGAGATAGGGCATCGTTGGAAGATTCACCCCAGAAATGGCAATAGTATTCCATACAAGGATGGATTTGAAATTTATAGAGATAAAGAATAGAATCCTGAGTAAGAAAGTAACAAACATAAGAAAGAGATGCAACCTTAGCAGATGCCAATTTAGCAATTGATTTGGTATATGGTTTCCAAGAAAGATCAAAATTATAATTAAATCCTAGAAGACGAAGGATAGATGACTTATTGAATACATTACCATTCATAGATATAGGAAGATCTAGATTATTGCGATAACAATCAGCTGAAAAAATTGAATTTTTTCTGAGTTAAAGTTCACCAGACACTCAGAGCTCCCTGCTCTATCAGAAGTGAGATCCTTTTCAAGCTCAAATGCCCCCTCTAAGCAATCAGAGAGTATTGGCTACTTATCAAGACAAGAATAAACGGTAACATCATCAGCAAACAATGCCACCTTAGATGTGAGAATTTCCGACAGATCGTTAATGTAAATTAAAAAGAGTATAGAACCACAGATAGAACCTTGAGGAACCCCTGAAGTTACAGGATATGAAGAAGAGTGAAAACTTTTATATTACTAATTTTAAACTATTAAATTATTTATAATTTAATAGTTTTAAAAATTTAAAACTTAAATATCATTAAACATTGAGGAAAACTTTTATACTACTAATTTTAAACTATTAAATTATTTATAATTGTTCAAATTTGAGCTCTGTGATAAGACCGTAAGGAAATCTAAAATGGAGCACCTAAAATAATACTAATAATAAAAATATAAATAAATGATAATGAAAATTTTTTTCTTAAAAAGGAATTTCAAAACTGAAAAAATTCTCTTTTAATAAATTTGTTATAAAGTTTACTAAAAAATTCTCCAAAATAATTCTGCCTACAGGTTTGATTATGGTTTATCTAAAAATGGATTTATATACAGCTGTCATTGCATTTAGCACTTTTGTATATTAGCACTTTTGTAGCAGGATAAAAAAAATTTATTGAATTGAAACTATAAATAAATAAACAAAATAGTTGAGTGTAAAACAAACATAAAAAAGTAATTAATATTAAATTTGATAAAAAGAATTTTTTCTACTATTTTTTCAACATAGTTCAGAAATTTAGGCAGTAAAAAAAAAAAATTCTTAAGCGGAGCGTTTTAAACTTTAAAAAAAATTTAAATTAACTTTAATTAAATAACTTTAAATTTGTTAATACGGTACAATCTCTCTAATTCGAATTTTATGGGGAAAAATAAAAGTTCAAATTAGAGATTTTCGAATTGTTGAAAGTTGACTTTTTTTCAAATACTCTATTCAAAGTAAAGTATAGAAATCAAACAAGCTAGCAAATAGTAATTCCTAGATAGTAAGCCTAAATGCAATATATATTATGTGTTTTAAACTTTTAAATTAAAAAAAAAAAGTCAGTAATTGTAAATGTCTTTTATGAGCTTGTAAATTCATGTCAAACGCACAATTTATATCCTTAAGAGCCTTTGTTAAATGATTTCCGAATTAATTTACTTTTTCTTAAATTAGTCTAGCCATCTTTTCTAAGCTTGAAAATTTTTAAAGCTTAACTCTTTTGCAAAAAGCTTTTTATTTTACCACCAAACCACTAATTGGTACATTATTAGAACTGGTTTGTTTGAAACATTTAAGATTTTATCTTTATTCTTTTTCCAGTTTAAAAGAGTGTTAGGTGGAATTTCAAAGATTTTTGAAACTATTTTGCTTGTTTTTTCATTCTCCAATTCCATTAGAGCTTTCAACTTTCACTTTAAATTGTTTTTTATAAATGGTCTCTTTGATGTCATGATTTTTTTTAAATAGTAGAAAACAATTCACACAAATTGTTTTTTTTTTAAACTCAAAACATTTGAAATTTGAAAAAATATTTTGACGGTTTAACAAGCTTTTTACACAACAGAAGTTAAAAAAGTTTGATTTACAGAGAGATTCTTACTGGTGGGCCTAAAAAATTCATTTGAATTGTGGAGGTTTTTGAATTATAGAGGTTTCAATTATAGAAAGTTAAATGTAAGAGTTTTTTAAGCGCATATCACTGTGACTTTGCATTTAATCAAATGATGGAGGTTTTCGAATTAAAGAGATTTGTATTAGAGAGATTGTACTGTATTTAATATTTAATTTGAATTTAAAAATTTTTTAAAATGGAAAGTGGAAAAAAGTTTATTTAACTATCTGTTGTTTTTTTAATCAAAAAAAATTTTACAATTGTGGTAAAAATATTTTTTACAACGCTTCATTAATGCTTAATGTTTTCCACATAAACTGTTTCAAAAAACTGTGCAAATATTCCAAATGAAAAAGGTTTTCGAAGTAACATAAATATTTGTTGGTAAATTTGCCAAATTTATCTAAAATGCGAAGAGTGTAACGCTTTTTATCAAGGTCTGATATATACCTTCAGTTGCTCTTATAATTTCTAGAGTAAATGATTTAATAATGAATGCCAATAAATAATGATGCAAAAGAACTAGAAAAAGGTTTATTACAAAATAAAACAGAAGAATATAATTTATGTAAAAGTTCAAAGGAAGTTGTTATTCTTGTTGCTGTGTGTACATAACAAAAAAAAAATCAAATTTAGATGTTTTTTGTATCAAATCTTCTTCTAACTAACAAAATATCTTCACTTTATTTTTTACTTTAAATAAGTTTAAATAAGTCAATATTTTGTATAAAAGTTTAACTATAGAAAAGTTTAAAAAAGTTTTACTTTATAAAAGTTTAAATAAGTCACTATATTCACACAACTGTTATAAATATATTTTATAATAATGAACAAGATGAAGTCCCTTCCCTGAAGTCACGTCCCTGGTAGTACCGCGCTCAACTCATTTCTCAGCGCAGTGGCATTGTTCGTCAAGGTTCGTGTTTTGGAGTTATAGAGTTGAGAGAGGGTTATATAACCACAAATAAGTAGCTTCCTTGTCTATAGTGGCCTTCTCGGCCTTGAGAAGGTGAATTAACAAAAAAAAAAAAAAAAAAAAAAAAAAGTAAAAGTCTTGAAACAAACTTATTATGTATATTGTTCGCTATAGATGCACTATTGTTTGGATTCTGGGTATTTAATTTTTGTTTGGATTTGCTTAACCATAGCTGTTATCCTTTTCTAAAGCTAATTTATGTTGGACCAAGTTTTGCTATACATTGTATTTTGTGATAAAAATATTTTATAAAGTGTTTAAAACAATGTTTCAAAGAACGATAGTTATTTTATTTAGAACAATACGAAGGATAAGGCCACCTACTAATGAAGGTGATCAAATTCGATATGCCAGCTGGTCCACAAATGGAAGTGCCCTTGTATGATCTTTTTATTTCTTTAAACTTATAGAAACTTGTAACTTAAAAGTAATATACTATAACTGCCCTGATAAGAAAAAATTCAGTATCCATAAAATATTCATCTTGCACAATTTTCAATAAATGTTCATATGCAAACCATACATGTTTTTTAAATTAGTTTTAATGAATAAAAATTTTGTTTTTTAGTTTAATTTTAATTAGTTAAAAAATGCAGCAAGATGAATATTTTACAGATACTATGTTCTTTTTTATCAGGGCAGATAAGTAAGAAAGTGTTAATAAAAAAAAAATCTTGTTTAAAGTTTATTTAGTCATACT